GCAGTGCTCCTCTGTAACACCTGGTGTCACCATGAGTCACCAGTGACTGGACAGCAGTGGGTTAGGTTTACAAATTGATTGCCACAAATATGGGGGTTGGAGGTCTTCCAAAGGCCAGTGACACAGGGAGCCATCAGGAGGCAAAGCAGTATGAAAAATCCCAAATGACGAATGATGTTCTCTTGTAGAAAGATGGGGAGTCTTAGGTTAGAGAATCCCAAAGAACAGATATAACTACAAGCCCTTATAATGATAGGATTTTATTTTAAATCTTGTCCTGAACTAGCAGATACTGGGTTTCATGAGTGTGTAAAACAGGCAGGTAAGTGATACAAATCTGCTTAATTGAACTATTTTTTTATTTTTTAAATTCTTTTATTATTATTTTCAATGAAAATTTACAGAGACTTTGGATTTTCATTCATTCAATTCATTGTTGCACTTTTCTCCCCTCCCAACCTTTCCCCCACCCCAGTACACTCCCCTCTTGGAAAAATAAAAGTCTTTCTTTGTTTTACTATTTGAACTATTTTTAAATTTAAGTTTCACAAGGGCAGGCATATTTTGGTTAATAGTCTTGACCTTGTGATAGGAAATAACAATACACAGGAGACATTCTAGACTGGTTTATATAACTCCTCCAGCTCCTAACCTGGCAGCAGCTGCAATAAGACAGATATTTAGTAACTATGTGATTAGCTGGAGCTGTCACAAGTGGCCAGCTCAGGTATGTCATATGGTATTGAAAGCAAGCTCTTTTGGTTTGTTTGGTGAGTGTAAAAGCAAAATCTTGACCAATTCAGATTAACCTGACAGGGATTATGGCCTGATGTTAATAGATCCGTGCTGTATTATCTTGGGGGATATTTTAAAGCATTTTTTTTAGTCAGTATCACTCAAAAATTAAAAACATAAAAGAGATTAAATAAAAAAGGAATTTGATCATTTAGAACTACACTGAGATAGAATAAGGAAGTTATCTGATCAAGGCTGATAGCACAGGAAATATGTGACATAATTTTCTCAAATTTAAAATTAGAAACAAAAGACAAGCTTATTTCTTTCTGAGAAAGGCCTGTGAGAATGTGGCTGCTGCCTGATCCCAGGCAAGCAGTGTCCTGTAGTCTCTTCTACCAGAAGCCAGAATCTCTTGCAGACTCATTGTGATTCCTACTCTTCTACTTATTAATTTGAGCTGCTGATTCACACTTGGGTGGGGTGAGTATGGGGTGGGGTGAGTACAGGTCAGTGCCAGTAGCAGTTACATGGTTGAATGACAAAGAATTCTCATGTGTTCTTAAAACAATGTTTGAGAGTGCTTAAGTTGTTGGGGAAAGCTTTCCAGTTTCTTGCAGATGGAGTTTTTGAAGTTTTAACTGTCTTTATTCTGAATCTTTTTGAAAAAGAAAAGGTTGGAAAAAATCTTCAATTAAGGAAAGCAGGAAGTTTGGAATCTGAAGAATTGAATGCGCCCCAGGCAGGGTCAGACACCCTGGAAGCTTGGCTATCTATCCCCTTTCTCAGCAGACAAAGGCATAAACTAAAAGGAAAAAGAAGTGGGCAAGGAGGGGTCAATCACCAGGCAGCCTGAGGGGAAAAAAGAGCATAAAGTAAGTTCGGAAAGCCCTGGGTCCTCAACCTGGAGCCTTTCCAGAGGTTGTGGCCTGGGCTGCACTGACTCAAGAGGAGGAGGAGAGTTAGAGGATGAAATCTCTCCTCACAAGTCCAGCTGGTAGGTCACTGAGTGGGACCTAGGTCTCCAGACTTTCTAAGTCAGTGTCTCTGGAGATGGGATGTGGAACATGTTTTTACAAGAACAGGACACCCTGGGTGGGTGACTTATCTGATTTCCGCTCCAGCTCCGAGAAACTGTACTTGTTGACCTCTGGATCACAGAAACTTGTCCCAACTGACCATTCTCCTTTATAAAACAATCCTTCCCTTAGTTATTTTATTCTTTCCTTGTTCTCCAGCTGCCTTTCAGCCAACTGACTTGGAAAGTGTGAATATACAGGGATCAGGCCTAGGCCCTGTGACATTTTTCTTGCCATTCTTTCCATTATCTTACCCTCTCCACTGGTTTTTATATCCTTGGCCAGACCTTTGCCTCCAGCTCATAGTCCACTTGTACCAGATGGCCCCATCTGGTTGTCTTATGCAACTTATTCAAACCAGGGCACATCCCTTCCCCCTCAACTGGCTCTTATTTGTGTTGCCAATCTCAGTGAGTGATGCCACCTTCTCACCTCAGGCCACACTCATTGTACTTGCTGCATGGACTCCTCGAGCTCATTTCCAGGCTGCTGCTTGACATCCACTCAGCTTTCCTGTCACTTCCTCCAGTTGACAAGCATCATTTTCTCAACTGGGCCAGGTCCTTTTATTATTTCTCTTTATTCTCAAAGCACCCTGCATTTTTTAAAAAAATTATTTTCTCTCTCTCTCTCTCTCTCTGTGTGTGTGTGTGTACCGTCAAATTGGATGTCTGGTACAGGAGGAGATGACCCCTCCTTCTCCAGCAGAGCATCTGGTGGATTTGAACCACATATCTCTGGGATTGCAGTGCAGCTTCTTGCCGCTAGGCCACCAGAGCTCGCCACCTGCATTATTTTATAGAACACTTTTTTAAAAATTTCTTTTTGCTTTCCCAAGGACTGAATCACTGGCATAAAGCACAGAAGATTCAATGCACATTGCAGTAAGAGAATAAGAAAGGGATATGATGTTAAAGGGTGGTTACAGATAACCTGAGTGATACTGAGAAATATCTAGGTGTACTGGTTACTTCTTATTCCAGCAGTCAAATCTGGACCCTAAAATAAAAATTCAGTGAGATGATGCTCAAAAATCTCCAGCTCCAATTGAGTGGGAAGTTTTCCTCTTTATTTTAATCAGCAAATGTTTGATGCATAGAAGCTAGGCCCTGAGAACCCTGAAATGGCTAGCCCTGCTGTGGACAGTGTTTGGTGAATAATATCCCCATTAAAAGAAGCTTGGAAGCAGGAGTGGCATCCACTTCCATAATAACTTGCCTCTGGAAACCCTATGAACCTGGAGAAAGGATAAAAGTTATACAAGTGTTCAGATCTTTCATTCATAAGAATGACTTACTCGATGGCACTTAACTAGGGTTTCACCTTTTGGGACTCAAATTCAGTCAAGACTCTTAGGACTTCTGAGGAGCACAGAGGAAGCAGATAGTTCTGCCTGGGTCACCTCAGGTGGTTCTCCAAAGCAGAGCAGGCAAGAGGCTCTATGGGCAGGTGGGCCTGTGCAGGTGCTCTGCTGAGACAGATGAGCCAGAGCAGGTGCAGGGTCCTTAGTGACCTGAGGGCAAAGGACAAGCACTGAAGCACAATGATGCCTGCTTGGAACCCATCAGACCATTCTTGAACAAGCTGGGTCTGAAGTAGGGAAGGACTAGAGCGACATTTAAGTACCAATGTTGGGACTTGCTTAACGACCTTGCCAACTTCTCTGCGTCTATACCCAAAAGAAGCTACACCCAGGCCCTGCAAGGTACTTTGCACAGTGATAGAAAGTGCCATCAGGTCTGTCTTGACAGATAATTGGCAGCAGGGCCAGTTGGACTGAAGCTGTGGCTGAGAAGCAGCAGCTGGTCTCGAGGATATGCCCCTGTGCCATGCCTGACTGTGCACCTAAGTGCCAGGCAAGGCATTACTAGAAGAGCCACTTAAACTGTACACTCACTCTTGCTCTGAGTACATGACCACAAGTAGAAATATGGAAATGTCTAGAAAAGAAATAGAAAATAATTTGTAACAATGCACAAAACATCGGTGTTAAATGGGTTTTTGTGGGCCCAACACTTGAAGAAACCATAAAATGAATGTTTCACAGCATATTAGGGTCATTTCAGTGTCCAAGAAAGAGAACTGGTGGTAGAGATAGCCACTGCCTTGTTTACTTTCAAAATACAAGCTTTTGTTATAATCTGTAGCAGAAAGACAAATACAGGGAGAGGAAGGAACCTGGCTTCCCACAAGAATCTCAAACACTGTAGACAAAAGGAATTTCAGGTTTGACCACTGGGAGGGAAGAAGGCTTAAGATCGACAAGAAATGTATTTAACAATGTTACCTAGGCCACCCCCCCCCTCGGTAAACCTGAAAGCAACGCCCTCAAAGCCCTTCTATTTGTAACTCACAAGTTTGTTCTCTCTAGGTTTGCTCCCTTTCCTATACGTAACCTTACACTGAGTTTTACTCCAGAATTGACCCTGAACCCAGTGCCAGTGACAAAAAGGAATTACAACTGACAGCTAAGGAAGCAAAGGAGGATGGAGCCTCTGGGTTCAACCAGCCATCCCCACTGGACCCACCTGGGAAAACACTCTGCAGTCCAGAAGGGAGCAAATGACAGGAAAATATCTTCTAACAGAGCAAGAAGGCAAGCAGCTTTAACCCAAGACCACCAGTAAGGTGATAAAGTGTCCTCCCTTTCCCCCTTCACATCAACGCCCCTGTTCAGCATGAAGAAGCCAGAGAGTCGGCATCCAATTCCCAAATCAATAAGACAGTTGGTTTAATTACCATTGGAAAATGCTTGTCATTCCTCTGTAGGATCTGGTCCCCTCTGGAACCTCATTATTTCCTTCACCTGCTCCCCCCACCGACCAAACTGTGCAGCTCTGCAACTGCATCCTGGCCCATCCTCACCCTTCTGCCCCCAACCCTCACCTCCTTGTACCCCCAATATGTTTTTCCCAATTAAAAAAGAAAAAAGAAATGTATTTAAAGCCAACACTGAAGGATATACATAAGCACACAGAGTTCTTCTGCTTAGCACTTTATTAGAGATTTGTGCTAATCCGGAAGGGGAGGTTGAGACCGGCAGGACCAGCACCCATCTGAGGGGGATTTCTTAGGCATCAGGCATTTCTCCATTCAAGTTTAGAGCAAACACCCTCATTAATGAAACCCCCCCCCAGAAGGGAGCATAGTGCCTGCCAAGCAGCCTGGGATGGGGGGAGGGGCGCCTTAGGCACTGCTGGGCCCCCTGGACAGCAGGGCCATGATGTCAGCCTCGATGTCGATGGTTGGGAAGCGGCGGCTGTACCTGCGCACAGGCACACCGTCGGGCCCCACCAGGAACTTCTCGAAGTTCCAGGCAATGTCGTTGCGGCACACCGGAGACCACGTGATCAACTTGGGGTCGGTCATGAGTGCAGTGGCATCGTCGCTGGGCGTGGGCAGGGCTTCCCGCAGAAAAGCGAAGAGGGGATGTGCCTGAGCACCATTAACGTCGCACTTCTCAAAAAGTGTGAAGTTGGGCTCGAACCCGCCGCCTGGTCGGACATGCTTCAGGGAATTCAGGATCTCTTCGTTTTTGGCGTTCTCCTGCCAGAGAGAAGGGTGGCTGGAACGCGAGGCCTCGAGGGGTAGGGGAGAGCAAACTGACCACAGGCAGCTGAGTCACCCGGTCGTTGCCCTCCTTGCACAACTCCAGGGAGGGCCTGAATTGCAGCCAAAAACGAATGCACAGAAGGAGGCCTGCTGCCTGCCTCGAATCCCCTTCTTTGAGCTTTAAGCCTGTGGCTGCTGGGTCCAGCCCCCACCCGCCATCGTCCCCAAACCCGGCTGCGCGCCCACCTCCGCCCCGCCCCTCCCGGAGCACCTGATGCCCAAACTGGTTGCATGGGAAACCGAGCACGACCAGCCCTCGAGGGCCGAGGCGCCGCTGCAGATCGTTCATCTGGGTGTAGTCCCGGACCGTGGTGCCTCAGAGCGACGCCACGTTCTCGATGAGCAGGACTTTGCCCTGCAGCGAGCCCAGGCTCAGGGGCTCCCCGCCGGTCAGCGGGCGTGCAGAGAAGGCATGCACGGTGCGCGCGGCTGCCGCCGCCACCGGAGCAGCACACATGGCGAAGGACAGAGGGACGAGCTCAACACTCAGAACCCAGAACTGCGAGCCGCCAGCGGGCGCCCTTTAAGTAGCGGCCGGCGGTCACGTGGGGCAGCCCTTTTTCCGGACGCCCCGCCTCCCGGGGCCCAACTCTTCCTGTTTCCGCCTCCCGGCTCGGGGCTCAAGAGGCGGGACGCCCCCGGCCGGACGCGGGCACACCCAGCTCGGGCGGAGCCCGGACGCGCCCGGTCTGACTCTGGCAGCGCAGGGCTGAGCGCTTCTGCAGTGGGCACCCCCTTCCCAGACCCGCGACAACTGCGATCCTTCCTGAAACGTTCCGCAGGGCACGGAGCCTGCCCTGGACCGGCTGCCATGGTGGGAGTCGCAGCTGACCAGTAGCGGGCGCCGCTCGTGCCGGCCAGGCCCGCCCAATATCATATTGTTGGAAATCTGCAAAACCCACTGTCGTCAGATGCACGGGGCGAGATGTGACTTGCGGTGATGGTGTGGCTGGCAGTGGCTGTGCTCTCCGTGCAGAAGCTCTGGCATTCTAGGAAGGGCCAGTTAGGGAAGACAGGAAGTGCGCTGGCGGAGGTGGGTGTCCCACAGCCAGCCCAGAACCCTGACCCTGCATTGGGCTGCCAGGAGGGCCTTCACCTCTAGGCCCCGTCTGCCCACTGTGCAGGTTTTCTAACTGCTTCGTGTCCAGCTTTCCAGGTACCTCTCACGTGCTGCCCCTGCCTGAGGCAATGACGCCCAACGTTACAGTGGATTTGAGGCCATTCTCCCTCCTTACCTTCCTTTATCTGGAGCTCAGGCTCAGAAGCCAAAGACTAGAAAATGGACAAGGAGTACAGGGAAGCTGAGGTTACACTGAGATTGTTCCACAGAACGACTGCCCCAAATGTCCCTCATATCTTCTCTGTACATTCCATTCCTACTGAGAACCTGAAAGTGTATGTGTATTGAGTGTTTCCACATTCTTGGGAGAAGCCCAGGTAGTGACAGCTGAGAAAAGGGAGGCAAGTGGCTGTTTTACTGCCTTCAGGCACCTCCCCAGAGTCAAAGCTACGTTAGCTTAGGCTGGTGAAGCCCATCCATTCTTCTGCTCCCAGCCTTGCAGAGAGCAACACAAACACCAGGATACAGAAGTTTAGAAAACTGCCTTTATTCTATTAGTAGTTGGAAAAAGTAACTGATACAGAAAAAAATGTTTAGTCAGCCGGAGAGAAGAAACCAAGTGCTGTGCAGGGACTAGTGGCTCCTCCGGAAGGAAACCTGGATCCAGTGAGGAGAAAGGAGCACTGTGAACTAGAGCCAGACCTGCAGTCCAGGTGAGACAGGATAAACCACCTTTTCCAAGAGTCTAACTGCCTCAGGTGTGAAACCGAATTCCTATATATGCAGCCCAGCTCTAGGGAAGGGGCTGTGGGTGGGCTAAGTGTGGCTGAAAGGGGGCACCGGATGGGGATGGGCTGACATATGGCCATCTTTTTGTTATCAGAGAAACTGACAAAACGGGAATTTTTAAAAGGAATTTTCCATCTGACTTTATTTTCAAATACACTTTCTTTTTAAAAAACCAATACACTTTCTGCGGAGATGACAAATATCAGTATTAGGAAATCCAATTATACAAAAAATACTACATCTAGTCTGGGGTAGATATATTTATTTTTGGTAACATACATTAAGTGGCACTAATTACACAGTAACTATAAGGTAACTAACATGAAACCACAGAACTGTAACTCTGCCACAGCTGCATGGAATTGGGCCTCTCTGGCTGAGCACATTGTCAAAAATCTGGATGCCCACTCTCAGTGGACATAACCAGAACTATGCCAATGAAACCCATTTTGGATTAAAGTTCTCAAGTGGTGACTCGCCAGAGTATCTTGCAGCTGACAGATAATAGGCAGGGCATGTTAGTTATAAAGTAGTTACAGCCTAATTCACAAAAGTTACCAACTTTTTCTCTTTCTAGAAAGAAGCAAGAAGTTAAGAAATTCCTTGAATTAGCGCCTGGTGTATCAGGTGGGAGTGCAGAGGAGGGCTGTTAGAGCAGTGTAGAGACACCCTGGTGGGTCGGAGGGGTTGGACATCATTAATAATCATGGTTGGCTTCTAAATACTGGTAGCAAGATGACTTCTGATTTGTAATCTTAGGTAAATTATAGATAAATGAAAAAGGCCAGTAATCATACACTAAGATTAATAAACAGCACTTCAAAATTAACCGCATGAGGGCTGTGCTTGCAGCAAGGTTTCACAAGACAAGGCACCCAGATTTTTTCTTCCCACGTCTGGCTTGCAGAGCTGCTCTCGTGGCCATTTCAAAAACCTCCCTCACTCCATCTTTGGTCTTTGCTGAACACTCCATGTATCCAAAAGCACCAATCCTGTTTGCCATATCTCTTCCTTCTTCGGGTTTTACTGGCTCCTGGCAAACAGAAGAGAGTGCTTTTAGCTAACAGTGTTAAGTAGGCACAGACAGAAATTTCAGGGTCAGCTAGAAGACTTCTTTTTCAAAGTTCCAAACTCCCTCATTTGAGCTCTATATAAGGAATTCTGTAAATGCTGTAATTTCTCCCAAATATAAAATCTCCATCAAATGAGTTCTCTCTTAAGAGGTGGAAAGAGAGGTCAAAAAAAGGAGATTCAACAAGGAATCAAGGACAAAACTACTCAAATTACACATCGAGGTGTTAGTGTCCTTCCCAAAAAGAAGTCCTGTAAACCCTGTCCCCCACCCCACTAGTTATCATCTCATCAGAATTAATGTAGGGTGTGTCCTGAAGTCTATTTCTTTTGAGTTCTAAAACATTAAACAAGTAGAGATGCCAAGCGTCATGAAAATATCCAAAGAACCAGAAAAACTGTGGAGACAAGTTCTTTTCTCCAGACTTGAGAAAGAAAAGCCTTCTTCTTCTTCTTTTTTTTTTTTTTAGAAAAGCCTTCTTCTAAAGCTAATGCTGGACTTCACCCTTTCAAAATACCTTCGTTAAAGCCATCCACTGGTGGTATTCCTGCTATGGTGGCATTAGATAATGAAGACAGAATTTAGCAATTGAAGTGTAGAGTGCTGCTCTGATAACTAAAATAGGGAAGCTGTTTTAGAATTGGGTAATGGGTCAAGTCTGGTGGTTTTAAGGTATCTTATAGATTGGTTTTCCCTGTCCCATCCACGATGGTAGAATCACAGATGTCAAATGCAGCTGTGGTCAGAAGTAATCAAAAGGCAGTGAGGAAAGCTATGGAGAAAATATCATCTGAGAAAATACTTAAGGCACTAGCAATGTGTTGTTAGAATGTGGACATTCAATACGCTAATGAGGCTTTAAAAGAAGACAAACTGGACAGTGTAAGGAGGGCAATGCTTTCTATGCAGCACATGGTACAATGACTTAATATGGCCATTTCCACCATATCCTCCCATTCTGTGAGTCTACCAGCGATGCCTATGACTTCATTCAAGACTGAATTATTCTGGTTCCAAGGAGGTAGGATTAGAACAATACGCATCTTGAAGCACCACCCTATAAGAAGATATGACCTAAATTGTACTCAGTTCTCTTACTGGTATGACTTACACACCTGAGCTCTTATATATACAGGACTGCAGCTGAGAAGTTCGCTCTCGTTTCCTGCTTGCTTGGGACGCTGCATCTAACCAGATTCAGCTGGCTCAGCCTACAAGCACCTGATCCACTATTCACCAGCTTCTTTGACTACATTCACTGGTCTACATACATCATCAACAATCGTGTAAGGCATTTTCTCTGATCATTTTTGGGTTTCTGTTAGACCTTCCAATGAACTACAAGACCCCAAGATAAAAGTGAGAGGGCTAGGGGGAGGAGGTTAATGTTAGAGATGATGGGACAGGATGATGGTTCTAAAACAGTGCTAAAAATTTTGTCTAAATTTTCTTCAAATATTTAGTGGAAGGAAGAATTTCAAGTGATGCACTTGAGAGTATTTGAGATGTCCAAGCAAGATCTTAAAGGGCCAATCAATTTAAAATGTGAAAGGGAAGAGATGTACTTAAATCTCAAAAGCTTCACAGAGGACTGCCTAGGAAAGTGCTGACATCCAGATGCTAAAAAATCAGCTGGAGCAACTAGGAGCGACCACTTAAGATGAAGACACTCACGCTGCAGGAATGAAGCCCTGTCACTGAGCCACCCAGGAGCAAAGAGGACAAGATGTCACCTCCATCTTCCTGTTAAGAAAGGCACTAGGGGTTCTTTGACTGAATGTTCTGATCCTTCTGTTGCCACTGATGTTATCTTTGGCCTCACATCTATCAAGGTAATAACTTAAAAGAAATAACATCTTGGGAGTTCCTGGCTCTGGAGCACTGCGGCTGTGAGGCCCCTCCTGGGACTGGTAATCTTGGGAAGCACAGCATTCAGGACTACTAAAAAGTCTGAATCTCTATCTGAAACATTCTGGCTTGTGAGAATTTCTCATGGGTCCTGGCTTTAAGAATGCTACAGGAAGGTAGAGCCATGGCCCACCCTGCCCCAGCCATGCCTGCTTCATCTTGGCTAGCTCCCGCCTTGTGTGTTCATCATTCCGAAGATCCTTCTTGTTCCCAACCAGGATGATGGGCACATTGGGACAGAAATGCTTGACTTCCGGAGTCCACTTTTCTGGGATGTTTTCTGAAGGAAAGAAAATACACAGGTTTTGGGGATGCATACAATTTCATTCTGAAGAATCAAAAGTTTCGGTTGAATAATAAACTTCGTGGCTGCAGAGGTCTGTTGGACAATGGAATTTTGTCCAACTTCAAACTATAGAAAAAGACAAAACTAACTCCTTTAAGCACAGAATCAACCAGGTTTTTTTGGGTTTTTTTTTTTTAGTTGCATCAAAGAACTCTGGAATTGATGAGCTTCTGCAGAGGTAGGGTTCGGAGATTCTAGAGGAACAAGGCACCTAGAACAGAGTGGCTCCACAAAGGCATTACTGGTCACTGCTGCCCTATGATTTTCGGGCTTTCAGGGCCTGAAAGAAGAGACCCCATTTGAGAGCCACAGTCTGCCCAGGTGCTGCCTGCTCTCTATTCATCTTCTCCAAAGGCCTTTGACATGGCCCCCACCCTGTGCGTTACTGACATTTCAAATGGCACCACAGTGTCTTCTGAAAATGAGTAATAACCAGCTGCAGCTTGCACTGAACTAACATGAAAAGACTGTGGGTACATGCAGTGGGCAGGGGGTCCAGGATAAATTCCCTATACTACCTTAGGCATCTCAGTTTCAAGGATGATTTTTATAAAATGGGCCTAACTACAGTACCTACTTTACACATGTATATTTTGAGGATTCACTAAGTTAACACATAAGTGTTTAGTATGACCATTGTGATCATTCAAATTGTGTTTATAGTTATTCAAGACTGTTTTAGAAATATAAACTGTTTACTCTCTGATTTCAAGACAAATTATCATAATGGTAGAGGTTAGTCAGAATATGAAAAGATGCTCTTCTGGTTAAAGAACATTTTCAGGTAGAGAAGCTACATAAGAGAGGTCAAGAAATTGTCTTCTTTTTTTTTTTTTTTAATTTTTATTATTTTGTGTGCGTGTACTGTCAAATCAGATCTGACTGGTACAGGAGGATATTGCGCCTCCTTTTCCGGCAGAGCGTCTGGTGGATTCGAACCGTGTTCCTCTGGGATTGCAGTACAGTTTCTTGTCACTAGGCCACCAGAGCTCCCCAAGAAATTGTCTTCTAATTCACAGACATTTGAAGTCTCCAGCAGACTTCTTCTACAATATCAACTACAGGATAAAGTATATCACTATTATGACAACTCACAATTATCTCCAGAACAAATGGTTTCCAAGAAGTACACTATGTCCTTGTCCTTAGAGCATTAAAAGGGAAAAGGGAGCACATCTAATGGTGAAGCCAAAAAGCCTTGAAGCTAAAACTTGCCCTTATTCTTGAATCTGTGGTCCCTTTTCAGCTGAACCAACACAGTGATCTCTTTAAAAGGCAACATCACTTCAAACCCTGGCTCAAACCTTTACAAATTCCCCATTACTCCTCACTATTACACACCTGCTAAACTGGACCCCTACTTAGTTTCTACTCAAGGACTTTGGCCTGGTGTTCCCCGGCCTAAAAAGTTCTTTTGCTATCTACCAATATGAATCCTCCCTCCTGCAGCATTCAGACCCTGTCCTCAGGCATGCCTTTTACTCAGATAAGGGTGTCTTAAGCTTTTTTCTTTTCTGTCCTACTCTCTCTACCCTAGGGCCTAGCCTCTGGAATAGGAGTTAGCAAGAAACAAATCATGGCTAAAACAGAGAAAGGTCAAAAGCTAAAGACCTCTGAAACCAGGAAACATGTTTTAAAAGGAATGAGACTGAGGAACAAGAATTCTTGCGTTGACATTATTTTCATCACCAGAGTATTACATCCTGAATGTACAGGGGACCCTGTATCCTGATTCTTATTGTCAGAGGACTGAAGTGCAACCTCCAAAGTATGTTCTTGAGCCAAGGTATCGTGTGGCTCAATTTTCTCTGTGGCTTAATATACAAGGGCCTCAGCTTCCAGGATCTTCCATTTGCCTTCAACACAAAGTCAAATAAATTTGAAAAAAAAAAAAAATAATCCTAACTGTTGAAGTAAGACTGAAGTGAATCAATGACAGGAAGTACCAGCTGTCTCAATACTGGCAGATCATCTCAGTCTAGTTCCTTGGACCATACAAAACTGAGAAAGTGGCTTAGTATTTAGGTGCATCCCTAGCACCATCAATAAACTGGGACAACCATGACTGAAATAAAACAGTCTAACCGTAACTGCTGAACACAGGCCCGAGTTACCAGCAACCCTTGAAAGGCTGTTCTCATCATGGTGATGTCCTTAGTCTACCGGTTGCCCTGTGATGACAAAAAGCTGCAGCAACAGAAAAGACATCCCATCACCATTACAGCATAAACTGAAAACTCTTCTGAAGGCCTTGGTGCCTTGTGTTAAAGCATGAGGTCAGCATTATATAGTTTTCACTGAACTGACTTCTTTTTTTTTTTTTCTTTCTTTCTTTTTTTTTGAACTGACTTCTTGAAGTGACTTTCATTGATATACTTTCTAAGCATGAGGCCACATGGACGAGGGGAATGGTCTGGTGTAAAAATCCCTTTATCAGCTAAAGCATTTTGAAGAATGGTCTTAAAAACATTACTGTGAAAAAGCAAGTCACTAGTGTGGATGCTGGAATGCAGCAGGTGAAATAAAGTACTGAAAACGGCATGGGCACCTATATAACAGCCTTCCCCAAATTTTAGTCAAAGAAGGGGGCTTTAGATTTGGAATTCACTTGCTTTCCAATTTTCAATACAGCAGCATGAAAAACCTAGTGTGTAAAGGGAACCAGGGACAAGTGGTTTAAAACTCCAGGACTCTGGTCACCAAGGATTCATTTCCTGAAGTTCACTCTGCTGTGCACCCACTTGGTGCCCATAAAGGACCTAAGAAAACAGGTGTTAGCCATGCACATTGGACTAAGAGTCAACATTACGCTGTAGGGCCACTCACCTAAACTATCAGGGCTGTCAATGGAGAAACACATCAGTATAACATCAGTGTCCGGGTAGGAGAGGGGCCTCAGGCGATCATAATCTTCCTGCCCAGCTGTGTCCCACAAAGCCAACTCTACCTGTAATGGGAAAAACAAACCCCAAAAGCATGAGGTTAATTCCACTTGCCACTGTAAGTGATGTTTACAACAACATATTCAAGCAGCAGATTATTTTCAAATAGCAAAATAGAATAATGCTCATTTTTACTTAAATTAAGCACAAAGGTGGGTGCTGTGTTTCAATTATTTTGGTTGGAATTTAAAACTGCAAATTTTATAGACAAAGTATACAAAGTGGCTTGATTCAAAAATATCAAGTAAAAAATTACTTTGTAATCAGCAAGAAGTATTTAGTTATAAACAATGTTCTACTTAGTAAAGAAATGGTTAGACAAAGGGAGAAACCAAATTAAGTAACATTCTATCAACTAAGCGCTTAAAGGGCAAAGCAGACTGAATAACTTTAACATAGTCTCATTGAACTGTTTGACTGTGTCTCATCATTTTGCTGCAATGTATGTCTGCATTTGAATTGCTAAATAGGAAAGACATCTCTGCCTGAGTGTTAGGTGACCTCAGTATGGTAAAGTTCAATCATTTTTCTATCACAGCCCTGCCCAGACACTTCATCTCTATGGATGTCTGTGTACAGTTCAGACACACTCAACCCTAGAATGGCTTTTGATAAGTGTTTTTAGAGTATTGAGCTGCTCATGTCAGAATGGATACTTCATTTTGGCAGGCCTAACTTTGGCACCATAAGTACCTAAAATCATGCATGATTCTTCAGCCCTCTTTTAGTGTATACTATATAAACATTCCCAGGAAAATGCCTTCCACACTAGTGCTTTGAACTTGTAGTCACTGAAATAAATAGGTATCCAGCCTGTGACATCTCTTCTAGTTCAAATTCCTTTATTTCCTTGGGTGAGGGGCTTCCTTATGTTAAGAATGGTGGTTCAGAGAGTCTTAAAGATCATTCCTTAATGTTTTAAGTCAAGATCCCTTCATTTATTACAGACAAATCCTAATCTCCAGGCAGAAATCTATTGCTTTACTGTCTCTACCATATGCCTATTGTCACAGAAAAGATGTTCCTGGTTAACAGTCATAGACATGGTCTCTGAAGAGACTGGGTAACACCACCAATATACACACACATGCACTAAACTTGGGAGAAAGGTGCCAAGAAATAATAACCTGCCTTTGTCTCCTTCAAGCCATTAAACTTCTGTGTTCATGATGTGGCAACCAAAGTTAGGTAAACAGAGCATAAGTCCAAAGATCTCAGTATATTTCTATTCATTTTGTAGCAACTAGGTCCTTTTTCCATTCAAATTCGTTTTCTTATCAGGTCCACAGAAACACATTCAAACAGTCATGAACGGGACTGATGGGTTGGCAACACTCTACTGGTGGGTGACTTGCAGAGCAGAATTCAGACAACGTTTTGCTGAGCTATAATTTATTACCCATCCAATTAGACCCAGAAATGTTCTTTAGGATTCCTAGCAGCACGAGAATAATCATTGTGGCCCACTGTGCAGTTGGGTGTAACAGACGAGAAACTGCACATTGGGGATTTTGAGCATGCTCTTATTCAGCACAATTTGTAAAATGCTTTAGTACTTACAACACTTGAGTTATTTCACAGAACCCTGGCAGTTACTAAAAAATGGTTTAAACCACTTTGCATATGAACATAATTCAAAGGTCCACAGAACTATCTGAAGAAGTCCTGTAACCACGCAATCTGGAATTCTGAGCAGCTGGCCTAACACAATCTCCACATCTCCACTCACTCACCAGTTCTATAGGTATGGCAGATAAGAGAACAAAGTGAGAAACGGGACGGAATTATGGGAGGCAGGATATTAGATAACAGTAACATATGAGAAATGTGACTGGATGCCCAAGAGGAATAAACATATTGGAGAACAGTATTTTTTGTTCTAGTTTTCTTTTCAGCTGACCTATTTCCAAAAGGAATGTTACTCTTATTCGAGAGATCAAATAAGAAGCCAGTGAAGACATAAAGACATAATTATGAAAACAAAATTGAGAAAATAATAGAAATAGACACTCCAATTGCAAGAGTTTTGCCCCAGTCTTGCCAGTGGGCTTTAAGACTGACATGGGGAAAACAATATGCTCAGTCAATAACAGGAAACTGAAGCAACCAAGACAACCTGTTTTATGTTAAAGTAAAAAACATATATAAAAAATGAAATGTGGATGAGCTCTGGTGGCCTAGTGGCAAGAAGCTGCATTGCAATCCCAGAGATGAGCAGTTTAAATCCACCAGATGCTCTGCTGGAGACGGGGGGGACCATCTCCTCCTGTACCAATCCGATCCAATTTGACGGTACAAGCACAAAATCCTATGGAACAAGTCTGTGTGCGCACACACACGTTTTTTTAAATATTCTTATTGCTGATGGGGTTAAATCAATTACAACCCTTTTAGAAACATTTACAGGAAGAGTCTCTGATCTTTTTTTGCAATCCACTTGAAATATATATGAAGTTAGATAGAAAAAGTCTAAACAATAAACCAAGTTGGGACAACATGGCATGAGAATGGATTTCTCTCTTCCAACAATAACTCTCTTTATTATCATGATGTGCATTAGTGAGGCAAAAGGGTCTGCTTCTTTATAAACTCTTTGGAAAACCTACTATGCAAAATGGTATCAGTTGCTTTGCAAGGTGTGCTCACCTGCTTTCCGTCCACTTCAATATCAGCCACATAGTTCTCAAACACTGTGGGCACATACACCTCAGGGAACTGATCCTTGCTGAAGACTATGAGCAAGCAAGTCTTGCCACAAGCTCCATCACCAACAATCACCAGTTTCTTCCTGATGGCTGCCATCACTGAAACAAAAGACAAAGGTATGATTAAAAGTCATCACAGGGAAGAATCTCAATACTAACCAGGGAGAGGAATCAGCCAGCGTATGTCCTCCAAGCCAGAGAGTCCTATGCTACTCAGACTAAGAGCAATTGTAGCCTCGGCAGAGAACTAGAGACCAACATGAGACAGAGGTGATTTAGGACCGCTGCTCCACAGAGGTAGATGCCTTCAGCCCAAGCTTGCTGGAGGACTGAAGGAAATCTGCCTAAGTGGCAGGACTAAGAAAACTTTTTAACACTGGCTTAAGCCATGAGGCTGAAGGTCAAAGGGCCTGCAACCATTCATGAGAAGCTGTCCAGACTGAGGGATTGGATCCTGCTCCCAAACTGAATTATATAGCCTGTAAACTTCCCTAATAAACCCCATAACCATGAATATGGTTTCTGGTTATTTAAAAATAAAGTCATCATGGACCTATCTATGTACTTTTCTGACTCTGGGGGACTATACAGATAAAAAATATCCACTTGGAATAAAAATGGGTGATATGTGGAGTTCCTTTACTTTTGGAAACAAACAGGAACCATCCTTTCAATCACTAGAACTAGAAATTCATAAGAAAAACAGATCTAATGGGTGGCTCAATTGCCAATACTACCATTAAATATAAAGATAGGTCAGAAGTATCTGAAACTGGTAGAAAAGGAAACATTTTCCACGAAAATTTGATTTAAAACAGAACTTGACAGTAAATGGGTTTCAAATTCTTTGCATATTGTAGATTTTGGAGAGCCTCATCAGTTTTTGGGTTTTGTGGGGTTTTTTTCCCTTCTTTAATTTGAAAACAATGACAGGAGACCATTCCATAATCCAGGATACTCTTTTCTTCTCTATCAATTTCTCCCTTTTGGTTTTTTACATCTTTAACTTAACTTTAACTCATAAACAAAAACCAAGGTAAAATATTCATGCAACCTTAAGAAAAAATGTTTAGGAAGGAAATTTTCTCCAGTTCAACTTATTGACTCCGAAAACCCACTGAAGGGTTAGTTATAGCTTGGTTCCAACTGGATGGTACACCACCACCACAAGGAGTGGGTATTAATGCCTGAAGCCTTAGTTCATTAATGGTCAGGTAAGATGGAATCTCTCTGAGGTACTTCAAAGAAGTCTGAGAGAATTATCAGGTAGAATATGTAAGAAAACCAACAACCTATCTGCCCCAACACTACTATGAAGCTCTGCATACATACTGTATACAAAGCCATACCTTTATTAGAACATGAATATAAGCCGGAAGTAAAACAGTATTCAAGTTGAAAAGAAAACCACTGGCAAAAAGAGACTTTTGTATTTTGCATTTATTTAAAAGAGTAAAAAATTCTACTATCCAATTATTTTACACATTAACAACATATATCTGGCAATAACAAATACCAAGGTATGAGATGGCTATGATGGTTAAGGTTATGCATCAACTTGGCTGACTACTTTGCCAGTTTCATACTTATATGGTTATCCTTCATTTTCATGTTAACAACATGATCTTTGGAATCTACTATGTTGGTAAGTGTAGGGAAAGAATATAGGTAATGACAAAATGGCAGATTTCCACTAAGAAAAGAAGAATAAGGTATATCCTGTCTCAAAAACATGCAGACTCAAACATAAGAGAAAAAGCAAGGAAACCAAGAGATGGCTCCTTTTTTGGGAGAAGGGGGAGGAAGTGGTGATGGTGGTAATAAATTAATAAAACTCAAGAGACTTTTAGCTACAATGACCCAAGGTGGAAAAAGAACTCAAAGAATACTATGAACAATTGTATGGCTGCAGCCAGGATATGAGACAAATGTGATGAAAGAGATAAATTCCTAGAAAAATATACACTACAGAAAATGACCCAAGAACCAGAAAAATAGAAACAGACTTAAAACAGAGTTAGAACTAATCATTAAAAACACAAGTAATGACAAAGTAAAGCTCAGATATAGATAGATTCAATAATACATTTTTAAACATTTAAAGAAGAATTAAGAAGAATTCTTCATAAACACTTAAAAAACAAAATCCAGAAGATAAGGGAACAGTTCTCTACTCATTTATGAGCCTCATATTACCATGGAACCAAAATTAGGCAGATATGAAGAAAATGACATCATACAATTATAAATATAGGTATAAGTATCTTTAACAAAATACTAGCAAACTGGATCCAGTGGTATCTGAGAGGATCAGATACTGTGGATATAATATGTATTCATAACTCAAGGTTTGTTTAATATTAAAAATTAACTCATATAAAAAGACCCATAATCATCTTACATAAAAGTTTAAGAAGATGCCAAGAAGGTCTGTTCTCACAGTGCCAACTGGACAAAAGTGTTACTCAACACTGTACTGGATGCTATAGTTAGGGAAAGAAGACAAAAAAAAAAGTAGTAAAACATCTATTCTGAAAAGAAGAGATAAAACTATATCATTTTAGCTGGAATGATTTTATACATAGAAGATTCTAAAAGTAAAAAGTAAACTTATAAACTATTAAAACTAACAAGTCAATCAAGGTTATATGATAATGAATGAAAAAATCTGAATACAAAATTGACATTTCTCTAAAGAAGATAACATAAAAGACCAATGAGCACATGAAAAGATATTTAGTCAACATCATTTGCCATTAGAGAAATGTATATTAAAATGTCACACACATCAGGATAGCTGTAATAAAAGATATCTAATAAGTAGTGTTGGTGAGGATGAGACTGGAACCCTTACAAATTGCTGGTAAATTAAAACCAAACTCACAGCTGTCAAGTCAATTCTGACTCACAAAGACCCTCTGCTGGCTTCTAAAACAGTAATCTTTAAGGGAGAAGACTGGCTATTTTTTCCTCTCAGCGTAACTGTTGGTATAAAACCACTAACGTTTTGGTTAGCAGTTCAATACATAATGCACTATACCCTCAAGAGCTACTTAAACTGCTGGTGGGAATGTAAAATGATGCCGCCCGCCACTTCCAGTCTGACAGCTTTTATACAGGTAAATACGTTACTAGGAAAAAAACCCTGCAAGATGCAAATTCGCTGCCACTGAGTCAGAACCAACTCATAGCTGACCTCTCCAGAGGGTTTTTAGACGCTCTAAATCACATGGGAGGAAACTGTCCACCTTTCTACTCCAGAACCACCGGATGGTTTATCAGAAAGGCACCAGAGAGGCTCTGCATTTCATTAAGCAGTGCAACTCCTATGGACTATACCACAGGAGCTTCTGAGTGTTACCGTATGACCCAGCAATTTCACTCCTAGGGATACAACCTCCAAAAAGAAAAATAAGTAGGCTCACACACATGCCCACAGCATTATTCTTTCCCTCCCACCCCTTTCCGTTCTTGTTTGTTTGTTTGTTTTAAGGGGAGAGTGTGAACACAGTCAGTCCTCCACTACCACAAATTATGCAGTTCAATTTTCCACAATTGGGGAACCTGCAGGGGTCAGCATATTTGGAGTGCAATGGATAAACCCTGCCCTGAGAAAACCACCTTGATGATCATGGTATCAACCCCACACCATTATTCTTATTAGCAAAAAAAAATGGAAACATAAATGTTCATTAACAATGGAATATTACTTCACAATAACATGGCTTAAGGTATTAAGGTATGTAACAATATGCATGAATCTTGGTCCAGAGAGACAGAATGGGTGCTTGTCTAGAGGGAGAATATGGGGAAGTGGGAAGTAACTGCTAATGGAGCAACAGAGTTCTTTTCTGGAGTGATGAAAGTATTCTAAGATAATTGCAAAAGTCCACGAATATTCTAAAAATCTGTTAAACTGTACATTAGTGAATTATAAGAAAAATGTAGACCAATAAAGATGTTAGAAAAAAAAGGGGGGGGCAGAAAAGCATGCAGCCGCCTTTTACCACCCTCAATTCCTATCTTTCTCCATCAAAACAGCTCTCCAGTTTTAATTACATCATTTGTTGCTCAGCTAATGACTTTATTTCCTAGCTTGCCCTAGAGCTAAGTAAGCATGGAATGTAACTAAATTCCAGCCCAGAGATGTAATCACTAGAATTTAGTGTGACTTTCAGAAAGTGTTCCTTAAAGGGAAGTCACAAGCCCTTCTTCATCCCCTTCCTCTGAGAGTTGCTATGGGCAAAATCTGTAATGATCAAGGAAGCATCAAGAAGGGTAGAGGGAGGAAAATGTCTATCAGCGAATGAATGAAAACCCATCCCCTTCTTTAAGCTGTCACTAATATCACAATTAAAAAACAACAACAACAAAAAAAAACCCAAAACCCAAAGATGATAATAGAAAGAATACAGTAACAAAGATAACTGGTTGACATTGAAAAATTTCCTCTCCCTCTTACTAGCCCTAGTGAGGGCTAGTTTCCAAGTTGCTACCCTGGATTATAAGAGTAAGTTTCACACCTTAGGTATGGAAAAACAAATATCTTGGAGGAGCATGGGGGTGTGTATGCGTGACAGCCTCAGCCCTTGACTGTTAAGTAATATGAAACAAACATCTGGCTTGTTTATGATGGTCTTTTCCAGGTTAAAAACCAACTTTAGACAATGTACACCCACTGATTAAAAAAAAAAATCATACTGCGTATAGAAGTATCTCCCAACTGGAGTGGTTAGGATATCTGAAAGAAGCATTAGAAACTCACTTTATTTTTTTAAGTCTTAACATCAAAATAATTTTACCTGGGGGATGCAGTAGATTGAGGGGAGCACTGAGTAAGCTAAGTGAAATAAACAAACAAAATCAGGTTAACCTAAGTTTTTGTCAGGAGGGGCTAGTCCTTGGAAAAAGACACCATGCTCAGAAAAACAGAGGGTCAGTCAAACAGAAAGTGACTATCAATGAGATGGAGGAGTGACCATGAGAATGATACATGATAAGGCAAGGTCATCTGCTCATCTGCTGTTCAAAGGGTCACTATGAGTGGTACTTGACACAAAAGCAACTAACAACATTAACAAACCAAAAAACCTCCAA